TCTTTAACTTATATGTTATATTAAAAAATGCTCTATATAGGAATACCAAACCAAGCCGTCATATATCACTTTTACCAAAAGTCTTAAGTCAAATTAAAATAGGATTTAAATAGATTGATTGAAAAAATGAAGGAGCTTATTAAGCTAAAAAATATACTTCAAGGATTTGATTGGAACCCCCCCTCCCACCGGGTAATCGGGACTTTTCCTTTAAAAAGGGGAGCTGTTGCGGCACCGACCGGTAACTACTCCGCCTGATTAAACGGAGAATATTAAAAATTAATAACAGAGCTGTCAACGTCGCATATGCATAGTGGGCCCAGAGCCGCCGACATGGTCAGCCACGTCATCAATTAGTAGGTCAATTATTGTTGCCGGGGGTGAGGGACTGGTTCTGGTTCTGGTTCTGGTTCTGCAATAAGTGAAGTACTAAATTAAAGTCTGTTAAATTTCCACTTAAATAATAATCATTATTATGGCATAAAAGAGGCCACAATAGTACAGTACCCATGTGGGATCTAATAAAGGAATTTCACTTGAAAGTTCTCAAAGTATCAGATGAGTCCTTGATTGAAAATTGAAATTGACCATGTTACCTTTCCTATTAAGCTTAATTTTAAAGTAGTTAATTCTTACTTCCCCACTTAGTGATTATGATTTTTAATTAAGTGAGAATTATTTATCGTAAATTATATTTTCAAACTCCATGGATAATATTTAAATTATCCTATTAAAAAAAATTAAGTAATTATATATTTTTTTAAAGAATTACTGTTGTTATTACCTGTGGAAGTTTGTCTTTAAGGGGTGATTGGTTTCTTTTTTCTGGAGAGAATCATGCAAGTAAGCCCTTAAATTTATTGATTATTAGCATTTTAGTCCCTCAACTTAAATAAGATGCATCCAATAGGCTGTCTAAAACTAGTTACGAGAAGGAGCTGTGGGTGGATTTTCGAGTGACATGGCTCATTGCTAGACATGTTTTTGATAAGATAGCCATTTCTTTGATGATTAAGGCATTAAGCAAATATGTTAGCAAAAGTTGGTGGGCTTGGCAGAACAAAAAACATAGCATTGTAAAAAAATTATTCACAATTTTTAAAAAAAAGGAAAAACACCTATATCAAAAATTTTAAGTCAGGATTTGAAATATGCCAATACTAAATAAAAAAATGAAAGTAAAAATAACAAAAGATGGTGGAAGGATGCATCATGATGTGGGTGACAATGATGGTCAAAGCATGGGTCCAATAGAAAAGTGATGATGTCTGTGCCTCGTGGGGGATTAGTTCATTACAAACCAAGGGTAAATTTGAAAAAAAAAAAAAAAGAAGTACTGTCTAGTACCAAAAAATAAATAAAAAATCTAACCATGGTTAACTCTTAATTGAAAAATATTAACCCTCATAAACCAGTGAGGTCAACCAGAGAAAGAATGCCATTAGCATTAGTTCCATTTCCAAGAGAAAAAAAAAAGAAGAAAAAAGATAGAGATAGAAAGAGAAAGAGAGGAGAGAGAGGAGAGAAAGGGAAGGCAATGTCTGGGCATTGTAGGGGAAGATAGCAGCATTTGGTCTCTGAGAAACTCAGCATCTCCCTCTCCATCCAATCTTTTTGTTTTTAAACATTATTTGATTACCCTTTTTGGTCCCTTTGTCGGCTGTTTGCTACCTCTCCTGTTTTCCGGTGTTTTCTGGCTACATCGCCGGAATCCCTTCATTACTTTTTCCTGTTCCGTTCTATCATTGCCTGGAAAGATTGCGTGAAAAGTTGTTATCTTTTGGTCCTGAACTGTGCTGATCTGAGATACTCTAGTCTTTTGATTCTCTGTAGTAGCAGCGGTGTTTGTCCCCGGAGCTCAGGAAGCTGTTGCCAGCTTTTTTTTATTGATTTTATTGATCAAAGAAGATCGCTGAACTTGAGATGAACAAGTGAAAGTGTGCTTTCCTCGTCTAGAATCTCGCGAAGTTCAAATGAAGATGCCGGCGAATGGAGCAGGAGCTGCCGCCGCAGCGACGAATCCGGCTGAAGGTGAGCTATTTTTATTTTTGTTGCAATTGTAAAAAGATTGAAAGAACCGTGGGATCGGGTCGGAAGTGTGTACTTTTTTCCTTACCGCCGGTTTTGTCCAACCCTCCCAAATCGATTAAAAAGTTATCAACTTTGCTTCTATTTCTCTCACAACCCAAAGAATCTGTGAGAAAATAATTCAACTTTGGCGAAATTTTCGTTTGTTTCTCGGGAAAGCCAGAGAGAGAGAGAAAATGAGGGGAACTGATTTGATTAAGGGCTGTCTCGCTCTGGGCGGTGCAGGTGGTGGAGCGGAGAAGAAGAGCATAAACCCGGAGCTATGGCAGGCATGCGCGGGGCCATTGGTGAACCTTCCGGCGGCCGGAACTCTCGTTGTCTACTTCCCCCAAGGTCACAGCGAGCAGGTAGCTCACAGTTCTTTTTTTTTCCAATTCGTTTTCTCCATCTATTGTGCTTAATAATTGATCTGATTTACCTCTTATTCCCCCATTTAAGAGAAAAAAAAAGAAGAAAAATTAAACTAAAAATTAATGTGGCGTTCTTAAAATTTTCCAATGAAATGGGCTGTTGGGAAGATCAGATAATGTATGCAGACATTTTCTATTTCTGTTATTTGGACTTTGTTATGAACTGACCTTTTTGCCCTTCGTTTTAATTTTAATTCATGTATTCTTCTAAGTGGCAGTTTTGGGATTTAAAGCTCAAATTGATGCCTCTATAATTTTTCTCTCTGAATTACTGTCTTTATTTTTATGACTTATTATCTGTGAGTTGGTATTGTACTTAAAAAGTGTTTTTCTTAATCACTAGGAATTTAGAGGCATTTCCCTATATCAAGTAAACAAGTTGTAAGGCTAATGAGCTAAGTAGCTAGTGGTAATCTCTTTCCTATAGAAGTAAGAGGTTCTGAGTTCGATTTATATGTCATGTAAGTGGAGTGGGTTAAGGGATTGGAGAGGGTTGCCTTGGATTGTGCTACCCAAGATTAAAAGAAAAAGAAAAAGTGTAAACAACTTGTAAGTTAGAATACTAAATAGAAATTGTTGATAAACTCTAATATAATAATAGTACATGTGCTCACTTTGGTTGGATAACTTGTGTCATCCTTCATTCTGGATTATGCTTTATGTACTGACTTTGGAGAAATCTCTGATGACAGGTTGCAGCATCCATGAAGAAAGATATGGACGTGCAGACCCCAAGCTACCCTAATCTTTCCTCAATGCTACTATGTTTCCTTCGAAACGTCACCTTGCATGTACTCTTCCTTACTCTTTCTGGCCTTGTCATTCATTTCAGAAGTAACAAGTTTTCTAGTAGTTCATTACTGAAATATCAACACTCTTATGCTTTGTTCTGTAGGCGGACCCAGATACAGATGAAGTTTATGCGCAAATGGCACTCCAGCCAGTCCCTTCGGTATGAACACTTTCCCTTAGCACAAAAAGGATCTTTATTTTGTGACAGAAATGTGGATGGGCCTTGGGTCTCATTGTAAAATATGCTTTGTACATGAAAACTATGGAAGTGAACTCAGCATGGTTAAGTTCCTAACTCAAATTGAATATGTCAATATCTCGTATGCAGTATGACAAGGAGGCATTATTAAGATCAGATCTTTCTCTTAAGGCTAATAAACCACAGCCGGAATTTTTTTGTAAAACACTGACAGCTAGTGACACTAGCACTCATGGGGGTTTCTCTGTTCCCCGCCGTGCAGCTGAAAAGATTTTCCCTCCTCTTGTAAGTGTCTATTGTAGTTAAAAGATTTTCCTTCCTCTTGTAAGCATTTCTATCATAGCTAAATTTTAGCTGCATTTTAAAGAAAAGAAAAGTTTTGCTGCATTACTTCCAGATTTAATTCTTTTTCTAACCTTTTTTGATAGGATTTCGCTATGACACCACCTGCACAAGAACTTGTGGCGAGGGATTTGCATGACAACATGTGGACCTTCCGCCATATCTATCGTGGTATGTGTTTTTCAGCCTTGAACTTTGAAATTCTAATTTACTTAGACATTGCTGACAAATAATCTCATTTCTCATAATGCAGGACAACCCAAACGTCACTTGCTTACAACAGGTTGGAGTCTATTTGTTAGTGGAAAGAGGCTTTTCGCTGGTGACTCAGTTCTATTTATTAGGTAATGGTAATGATAATGAAGAAATGAATTAGCCTTCCTTGTAAAATTTAGATATCGATTTCTGGTTTTCTGGGTATTTTATTTCTTTTTTATGTATTATGAACAGAGATCTTTGCACACAAAACACATATATTGCTTTTTGTAACTAAAGTTATTTTTTATGGAGAACAAAGATTCAAAAAATACAGTTTTATCTTTCTTATGATGCTTTAAATTTGTAAGCAGAGATGAAAAGCAGCAGCTTCTACTGGGAATAAGGCGGGCTAACAGGCAACCTGCCAATTTATCATCATCAGTGTTATCGAGTGATAGCATGCATATTGGCATTCTGGCTGCAGCTGCTCATGCAGCAGCAAACAACAGTCCTTTTACTGTATTTTATAATCCAAGGTCTACAACTGTTTGTTTCTTGACTTAATATCACATTATTTTGATAATTCATCTTTGTATTTTTTTATCATGATTTTGTTTGGTAAAGAAATTTGTCTGTTCTGAGAGTCATCTAAAATATATATATATATTGTGCAGGACTAGTCCATCTGAATTTGTTATTCCTTTGGCCAAGTACTACAAAGCTGTGTATGGCAACCAAATATCACCTGGCATGCGCTTCCGTATGATGTTTGAAACTGAAGAGTCTGGAACAAGAAGGTAACAGGATTTGAGTCCTTATTTATTTTTGAATATCGACAGAAAAATTGGATGAGAGATAAATAAAGTCTGATACATGGACACTCATGATGTTTGACATTAGAAAACACAAACAGGATGACTTGGATTTGTATATGAGATAATGCATGCCTTAGCATTTGGTTTGCTGGGTGTCTATATTAACTTAACCATTATACTTGAATTTTGGAGTGGTTTGTTAAGTATTAAGAAGCCAAATTTATTACATTTCTCATAGATTCATATATTGATAATGAGCAGTTGTTGGTCCCTGGGAGATTAAAAGTTGTGTTGAAGCTCACTTAAACGCCTCTTATTTTTTTCCCCTCAGGTATATGGGTACAATTACAGGTATTAGTGATCTTGATCCTGTAAGATGGAAAAACTCACAATGGCGTAATCTGCAGGTATCATTCTGGCATTGTTATCAAGAAATGTTAGATTTTTCCTGTTATTGATGTAGATAGCCTCTGTAACTATCCATTGTCTTTTAATAGGTTGGTTGGGATGAATCAACCACAGGGGAAAAACGTACTCGTGTCTCAATTTGGGAAATTGAACCAGTCACTGCTCCATTTTTCATCTGTCCCCCTCCATTCTTCAGATCAAAAAGGCCAAGGCAACCTGGGATGCCAGGTACTATATTCCTTAAGAAAATTATTATTTGACAAACATTTGTGCAACAGAATTACTCTTAGGTGTTGTCTAGGCAGTTTTTTGCTTGATGGTATCCCTGTTGCCTTCTGTTAATGCTTTTGATAAAAAGAGGGTCTGCATGGAGTTTTAAAACTATTATAATTTGATTGGTCAAAAAACATTTCCCTTCCCTTCCCTCCCCTCCCCTCCATTCCCCTCAACCCAAACTGACTAGGAGTAGAGGGCATGCTTTTCTTATGTTCTTTTTATTTGGCTTATGCCTTTAATTGTTGATCAGATGGCAGTCTTTGATATTCAAATATATTGGCTTTGTTTAATGTTGAGCTGTTTAGATGTGCTTATGTGATGATTGAATTCTCTAAGATGCCGGTCACTCACTTTCTTCTTCCTTTTCATTTTCAACTCAATCTGGTTTTTGGGATTTAGAATTATTTTTGGCTAAAGGATACCAGTGACCAGACTTACCTCTCATAGTACTTCTGCAGATGATGAATCCTCTGATCTTGATAACCTATTCAAGAGGCCAATGCCTTGGCTTGGAGATGATATGGGCATGAAGGATTCCCAGGCTCTGCCTGGGTTTAGCATGCTGCAGTGGATGAACATGCAACAAAACCCTGCATTGGCTAATACATTGCAGCCAAATTACTCACATTCCTTGCCCGGGTCTGTTTTGTCAAACCTCACTGGAGCTGATCTTTCTCGTCAATTAGGTTTCTCAGCTCCACAAATGCAGCAGCCCACCAACTTACAGTTCAATCCACAGAGGCTATCTCAGCAGGTGCAGCAGCTTGATCAGCTTCCGAAGCTACCATCTGCAGTGAATCCATTAGGATCCTGTATGCAGCAGCAGCAGCAGCTGGTTGATATAACTCAGCAATCAAGGCAAAATTTGATCAATCAAACTCTACCCTCTAGTCAACCTCAAGCCCAAGTTTTGCAGCCTCAGCAGCAAACACTTGTCCAAGGTAACAGCATTCTCCAGCAGCAGCAACAATCCATTCAAACCCAACAACTACCAAGAAGCCTTCCTCAAAGCCTGCAGCAGCAGCCTGTTATGGGCCTTAATCAACATCAAAACCTTATGCAATCTCAGTTTTCTGATCCAGTGAACCAACATTTACAAGTTCCTGACAACCCGATTCAGTTGCAACTATTGCAGAAGATTCAGCAACAGCAGTCCCTTTTGGCACAGCAGTCTACAGTGCAGCCACCTGTTCAACTTGCCCAACTGCAAGATCGGCAAAGGCAGCTTTTGGATGTTTCTCAGAGCTTCCCTCGGTCTGTAAATCCTACACAAACATCAGAAATGGCTCAAGTGATGCCTGGTTCCCTATCTCAATCCCAGGTCATGGCACAGCAGATAACCAAAAGTAACAACCAAGCAAATGCTAGGTTCTCTCATGCCCCCCAGCAGCAGAAGCTTCAGCAACAACAGCCAGGGATTCTGCCTGAAATTTCTGGACATTTTGGACCTTCACCATCTCCAACAGCCAATCAGCTGTCTGCAGTTGCTAGCAATGTGTTGACAGGGGCTGCTGTAGCTGGGCAGTCTGTGATTACTGATGACAATCCATCTTGTTCTACTTCACCCTCAACTAACACTTGTTCGAATGCTCTTCAACCAATGATAAACTGCAGAGTTCAAAGAAGCACAGTATTAGGGGAGGACATGACTCAGTCTGCTGGGAATACCTTAAACCCTAATGCTTTTGAGACCATTTCCCCGAATGTCAATATAATCAAGGATCTGCAGCAGATATCTAATTCTAAACCCTCATTTAATATTTCCAAGAGTCAAAACCAAGGGTTTATTGCTGGTCAAACATACCTCAATGGTGCCACACAGGCAGATTATTTGGACACATCATCATCAACTTCAGTTTGCCTGCCTCAGAATGAGGTCCATTTACAGCAGAATCACAACTCATTAATGTACAATCCACCAACTGCATTATTGAGAGATACAAGTCAATATGGGGAAGTTCAGGCAGACATGAGGAGCAATGTTACATATGGGACAAACATGGATGGCCAAATGATGATGCCCATTAACTCTGACACTTTGTTGACTAAGGGGATGATGGGATTGGGGAAGGACTTCTCAAATAATATCCCTTCAGCAGGAATGCTTACCACTTACGAGAACTCAAAGGATGCTCAACAAGAACTTTCGTCTTCAATGGTTTCCCAGTCATTTGGAGTTCCGGATATGGCATATAATTCAATTGATTCAGCATTAAATGACAGTACTTTTACAAACCGTGCTCCATGGGCTGCAGCATCACAATTTCAGAGAATGCGGACATATACAAAGGTTAGTTATTCCAGATTTTATTCCAAAAGTAATATCTTTGTCGCACCATCATCCAAGACACATTCACCATAAACACAGTCCAAATCCATTAACATTTTTTTCATGTAGTTTAAGGATTCTAGATTATGAACTCTCTTTTTTTTGTTCTTCTTAACTCTATAAAGGTGTACAAACGTGGAGCTGTTGGACGATCAATTGATATTGGCCGTTACTCGGGTTATGATGAGCTTAAACAAGATCTAGCTCGTAGGTTTGGTATAGAGGGACAGTTGGAAGATAGAGGGAGAATAGGCTGGAAACTGGTGTATGTAGACCATGAAGATGATGTCCTTCTAGTAGGAGATGACCCATGGGAGTAAGTCCTTCAGTTCCCTTTTAGTTTGAAGTTTCACTTTTTCATCTTACATAATTTGAAAATTTTCTCAAGATGATATTGCTGGTGACAACAGTCTTGTCATCTTTTTGCATGCAAGTCTTGTTTCTTCTGAATCTCAATTCATGTAGTTAATACGTATTTACATTGTTTTTGGTGTTCCAGGGAATTTGTGACTTGTGTTCGATGTATCAAGATACTGTCCCCTCAAGAAGTCCAACAAATGAGTTTGGATGGAGATTTTGGTAACTCTGTCCTTCCAAACCAAGCCTGTAGCAGCTCTGACAACGGTAACATGGATTGTGGTTTACCAAAGAGCTAACAATTGTTCTTCCTGAATGGAAGCTTAAGTGACTTAAATGAAGGAAGCATTCAGAGGAAAAGAGTGACGGTTTTGGCAGTTAGTTAGCCCTTCACTGGAATTTTGGTCCAGTTACGACACCTTCATGTCAGATCAGAAGTAGAAGAAACAGGTCACACTCTTTTTCCAAAACATGTGGAACCGAGTTTGGTACATGCTACCATTAAAGTCATCAATATATTGATTCTCCATATTTGGCTTTGAATCTAACATTTGATCTTCCCACTCAGATGTGTAAAATTTGCGGCAATGTAAAAGAAAATAATTTATCTGTATGGCACTATGGCTTAGTTTCAACTGTATAAGCAAAGGTGTAGTTTTGTTCTTCATTTTCTTCCTTATTTTCCGTGTATTTTCCCTCTGTTAAATCTTTACCTCAAACCCCTTTCTCACCAAAGGAGGTGGTGCTACCAGAGTACGTATTTCTTCCTCGATTCATCCAACTTTAATGTTGCATGGACTTTGGCAATGACTGAAGGAGCATATGAATTTTTGAAACTTATCCTGGTAGAATTTCCTTCATATCTGAATGAAACTTTTATGGACAAGAAAAATAAAATAGGCTGACAAGTGGAGAATGGATTCCAACAAATTTGCATATGTTTGAAATATACATCATACTATATTCAGACACTAGTCATTGACGATTAGAGACCAATACCCCTTTTACCATACACATGAATATATTTGTCTTAAATTGCATGGTACAAATAACTAACCTGAAAACAATCTCTTGTGGTCACCTTGATTTGCAAGTAATATAGAACAGTCAATGGAATTTAGCTGCAGTCAGGTTATTATTCCGCCAGCCAAATCAGCGAGTGTAAGCATGCAGTGACATCGAAATACCATATTCCAGTTAATCAGAATTCATCATGTAGGCTTACAATCAACTTTGTCTGATCCAGATGAGCACAATCCCATGTCTTAACCTCAGAAGGAGAGCTTACAGTCCCATTTCGAAGACCACATGAAGAGCTTGAACTTCCATTTTTGTGGGCCAGAAGTTTAAGGTTGTTTCGAACAAAAACAAGATCTTTCAATCTTTCAACTCCAAAGTTGTTGGATGCTCCTTGACAAGAGAAGTAATCACCTGGTGAAACCTCTTGACAGATTCCAGCGGTTGAAACCTGACTGAGGACCTTAATGGCTAAGGTCTGCAAGCTGGGCATTTCAAAACCAAAATTTTCCCACCAAGCAACTGGATCCATTTTATTTCTAGAATCCACAGCATCTTCCTCTCCCAAAGATCCCTCCAGGCGCCAGTAGGAGCTGAGTTGCTCTCGAAGAACTCGTCTAGCTGCACTGTCACACTCAAACTTTTCTAAGGTGGTCTTCCAGCCTCGCATTATAGTTTTATCCCTTGCCTGACCCCTTCCAAAATATCTTGGATTCACCATGTAACCAGCAGCTTGGAGAGGGGAAAATAAAACATCCCATCTATTCTCTATTAGGACTTCCAACTCATTTAACGCACTGCCATCATATTCCTGGTTCCTCACAGCTTCAAGTGCTTGAACACGCCAATCATAAACATCACCCATTGCAGATTTGTCAATATCAAGTACGGAAAGCAGTCTTATAAAAGGCTCATATAACTGCAACATCAGATGGGCCTTGCTCCAGAACTCATCCCCTAAGATGGAAGATTCAACAACTACAATGTTGTCAGGAATGCTATGCTTCCATTGCTTCCACTCTTCACTCACAACTACCTCTCGCAGCACCTGTTTTAACTGAAAAATTCTTTTAACAACGCAATAGGAAGGTGCAAACTTGGCAGAAAATGGATCAGAGCTTTCCTTTCGGTTTGGAGTTAAAATGCAAGGAAAAGCATGTTGATACATCATGATATACTGCTCGATCCCCCTAGCACACAAAAGAACAGGTTTTATGAACTCCAGCTCAGCTATTTCTTCCATCAACATGAGGATAGAATGTGAAATGCAAGGAGACCAAAATATATGGGGGAACTTCGAAAGAATAAAGGACTTAGAAGATTTACAGGCATGATCTATATGTGAGATTATCTGCAGAACATTATCTGATCCAACTTCGACTATCACATCACTAAGGACATTAGTAAATACAGTGTCTGCTTCATCACAATTATCTGCATCTACTGCTTTCAGGAATATGAGTCCTCTTGGACTTGAGACAAATATGTTAATGTGAGGGCAATCATGTGGGCCATCCAAGTGACCAACACAGAGTATAGTACACCCGGTGTGAGGCCAAGATTCTCTCACTAGAGCAATGCATTTCTCAATCTTTCCTTTCTCTTTACTTAAAATGGAGTCACACAGCTTATCAATTGAGGGGGGTTCATACCCAGAGCCAAAAGCAGCAACTGCTTTCACCATTTCGTTAAAGTAAGGAGAGTTGACAATGCTGACATCTAATCCAGAGGCATACACAAATCTTGCTACCATGTCATCTACATCATCTTTGCTGATAGTTTTCCACACATGACTTGATTGTGGGGTCCGAACATGGCTAACATGCTTTCTACTTCCAGAAATCCTTTTCTTTTTCCGGGCAAGGCGTTCCTCCTCTAGGATCTGAAATGCTTCTCTTAATGATCTATCTATAGCTGGACAGCTTTTGACCCCAACACCAGAAAACCCAAGAAGGTGAGCTCTAACACGGGAGTAAGACCCATTATATCGTAGATTACAATGGTTGCATTTCCACCTTTTGGTACCACTTCCCCGGTCAAACCCACCAAACACACTAACATGCTCCCACCCCCACTTATCAGATTCTGATGGCATACTCATAAACTCTTAGTACGTAGTACTAACAGGAAAATAAAAGCAGCAACAGAGATATGTCGAACACAAGATATCACCGCAGAGGATTACTGCATTCAGCACATAAGAAACAGAATGAGTATTAGATTAAGATCTTCCTTAAAAAATATATCATTCTATGTAAAATCATAGCAAGCTTCATGCCAAAGAACTATAAGTATAAGGAAAAATTTAACTAATAGAAACAGCACTCTCAGAAGTATAGCTCAGTTAATAAAGCTCAAAACACTAAACATATTTCTTTAAACATTCCAATATCAGTTTAAACAGTCTGGGAAACCTAATGTAAGCGGGAGGACACTACTGGTGCATGATGATCCCCTCGATTGACATATCCTAAATAAAGTCTGGTGCTTTTAACATGATTGAAATGAAACAATATGCTACTGCAAAAACCCACCAATTATAGTTGCAATATAAACCCAAATTGACAGTGTACAAGACATAACTTTACTCTTAGAATTGTCAAGACCTCATTGTAATGATATTTCTACAAGAATTTAGTGTAAGATCAAACACATGAGCAATTTTGAGACTTTCCGTTTAAAGACAATCAAAATCAATCGTATGAACTCGAGCAAAACTTCAAATTTTGCACGAAATCAGTCACCCAATAGAACAGGAGAACTTCTCCGTACCATATCGAAGAAGAATCCAAGCAGAAGAAATTAAAAGAAGTGGATAGATAAGCAGATTCAGGGGAGTCAGAAATCTTACCAGCATTAGAACGATAATCGATAGAAGAAAAAGTAGCAGAGAATACTTGAGATCACAGTTTCATTTCCTTTATTTTCTTCCATTTTCTCGAGAAAATAGCTTCAGCATTCTGGGCGCCATGCTCGCTCAAAACGGAAGGAAGAAGAAAGTTACCTGACAGACTTGATTCCGTCCGGCGGAAAAGAAAAGCAAAGATGAGTGACCCATGGCACTAGATTTCTTAATTTCGTTTTTACCCCCCGTACGTTTCAATTTTGGTACATTTAGTACTTTAACTATTATAATATTTTTTTTTGAGTTTTTTTAAGGTGCAATTATTGCATTATTTTAACATTAATTAGTATTAAAAAATATAAAAAATGTCATAAATTTCACACCAGTGTCATACGGATTATTTAAATTACTAAGTTGCTTAAAAAAAGACCAACTTTTATTTTTTCAATACTTGTTAATATTAAAAAAGAACAATAGTTATGTTCTTAACATGTACTTTTAAGATACATATAAGAAAAATAATATTTTTTAAGATTTTTCTAACAAATGTGCTTTAAGAATGCATTAATTATACATTTTTATTATTAATTTGTGTATGGAAAATAAAAAACTAACTTAATTTTTAATGTCAATAACATATACATAATTTTAATTAGACAATTAATAAAACTAAAATAAAATTTTATTTCCACAACAATTAATAAGAAAAAAATATAATTAATATATTTTTAACCTCTCAGCTCAAAGAGAAAAACACTTCTTATTAATTTTAACCTTGAGATGTTCCACCCCATACGTTTTTAATTTTGTTACATTTAGTACTTCATTTCTTTTTAATTAATTTCAACCCTTAAGATATTGAATCGTAATGTCGATAGAGTGGTTAACGGGCCTTGGCGTCGGCCCATCCACATTTAAATATTGGGTCCATCTCCATCGTTAAAACCTCCAGACTCCTACCCTAACATGCCCGGGCATATACCCGAACCAAGATCCCTCCAATCTGCCACCGTCGACGAGCTGCGGGTTTCCTGGTAAGCATGCAAGTTACTCCTGCAAACCCTAATTTAATTTCCGCTTTTCTCCATCTCTTCATTCTCTATATTCCTTCATTCTTCTGCGCGTTCTCGCATTGGAATGAAGGTTTGCAGCTTCAGAACTGGTGAACCCATGAAGCTGTTCGCAAGGGGGAAAATATGCGAGCTATCCAGCTCGACATTTGGGGTTTTGCAAAGTTTTAGAGTTTTTGGTTCTGTATTAGTTCTATGTTATAATGCAATTTAGTTGCCAGCACCGGGAGGTGGGAACAGATGTTTATTATAGTATCTGTTTAATTATACTTTTCTCGTATTGAATTATTTTTCACGCAGCTCTTCTTCTTGACCTCAGCTTACTACTATGTTTTTGTTTTTTGGGTCTGTATAATGCTCTGATAATCTTCTTTCTTTCTTTCTTTCTTTTTAAAGAAAAAAAAGGCAGGAACAAGCAGCATCAGTTTTTTGGAACTGGTTGTTGAATTTGGGGTAAATTATATTAAATTAGGTGGATATCTTATACAAGTGTTAGTTCTTAGAATGGAAGAATCACCCATGTTAGGAAAAAGAAAATCACCTGAAAAATCAGAAGTTAAGGAAATTCCCAAAGAAGAATCTGCAACAAAAAAGAGAAATCCATCTCGAACATGTGTGCATGAGGTTGCAATTCCCACTGGGTACGCTTCAATCAAAGATGAATCAATTCATGGGACCCTGTCAAATCCAGTCTATAATGGAGAGATGGCAAAGACTTACAAGTTTGAACTTGACCCATTTCAAAAAGTATCAGTGGCATGCTTGGAAAGAAAAGAGTCAGTGCTGGTTTCAGCACATACCTCAGCTGGTAAAACTGCAGTTGCAGAGTATGCCATTGCTATGGCCTTCAGAGATAAACAGAGGGTCATATACACTTCCCCGTTGAAAGCTTTGAGTAACCAGAAGTATAGGGAGCTGCAGGTAGAGTTTAAAGATGTGGGTTTGATGACTGGTGACGTTACTCTGTCTCCAAATGCAAGTTGTTTGGTTATGACAACTGAAATTCTCAGAGGGATGCTTTATAGAGGTTCAGAAGTTCTGAAGGAGGTTGCATGGGTTATCTTTGATGAAATTCATTATATGAAG